CAATCCCTATCAAAATTCCAAAGGCATTTTTCAGAAAAAAATAGAATAACCTAAAATTTGTATGAAAGCACAGAAGACCCCACATAACCAAATCAGTCTTGAGAAAGAAGAACAAAACAAAAGGCATCACATGCCCTCATTTCAAACTATATTACAAAGCTATAGTAAATAAAACAGTGTGGTAATCAGCATGGAAATAGGCAAATAGATCAATAAAACAGAATAGGGAGCCCAGAAGTTAACCCATGCATATATGGTCGATTAATTTATACAAAGGAGCCAAAATTATGCAATGGAAAAAGGATAGTCTCTTCAGTAAGATGCTGGGAAAATTGGACAGCCACATATAAAAGAATGAAACTAGACCACTATCTCACACCATACAAAAAAAATTAACTCAAAATGAATTAAAGACTTGAATATAAGACCTGAAACCATAAAACTCCTAGAAGAAAACATATGTGGTAAACTTTCTGACATAGATTTTGGCAATGATTTTTTGAACCTGACATGAAAAGCAAAATCAACAAAAGCAAAAATAAACAAGTGGAACTACATCAAACTTAAAATCATTTGCCCAGCAAAGGAATCCATCAACAAAGTGAAAAGGCGACCTACAAATGGGAGAATATATTTGCAAATTGTATATCTTATAAGGGGCTAATATCCAAAATATATAAAGAACTCATACAACTCATAGCAAAGAAACAAGCAATCTATTAAAAAATAATCTGAAAATCTGAATATACATATTTCCAAAGAAGATATACAGATGGACAACAGGTACATGAAAAGATGCTCTACATCATTAATTATCAGGGAAATGCAAATCAAAACCACAATGAGATATCAATTTACACCAGTCAGAATAGTTAGTATCCCAAACACAAGAAATAAGCGTTGTTGAGGATGTGGAGAAAAGGGAACTTTGTGCTCTGTTGGTGGGAATGTAAATTGGTATCGCCACTATGGAAAACAGTATGCAGGCTCCTCAAAACACTAAAAATAGAACTACCATATGATCCAGTAGGTCCACTTCTGGTGTTTATCTAAAGAAAACAAAAACCCTAACCCATAAAAGATATCTTCACCCTCATGTTCATTGCAGCACTATTTACAATACCTAAGACATGGAACAACCTAAGTGCTCATTGGTGGATGAATGTACTCTATTATTCAGCCATAAAGAAGAAATGGTGGTATATTATTCATCCATAAAGAAGAATGAAATATTGCCACTTGTGACAGCATGGATAGACCTTGAGGGCATTATGCTAAGTGAAATAAGTCAGATAGAGAAAAAAATACTCTATAATCTCTCTTATGTGTGAAATCTTAAAAAAGAAATCAAGTTTATAGATACAGAGAACAGATTGGTGATTTCCATAGGTGGGGATTGGGGTAGGAGAAATGGATAAACATTTTTTTTCTTAGTTTAAATTAATTGAATAAAAGTTTAGGTATATGGAAATAATAGATATTTTTATTATTAAGAATGAAAAATTATTCTGGAGAAGGGAATTCATTAGCCCCTGACACTTGAGAGAGCATCATAAATATTGGCATTTTTATATAGAGATTATCAAATTTGATTATCACATAAATGTATTCATATACCTTTTTATACTTTTAATTCTCCTCTCTCCCTCTCCCCTGCCTCCATCTTTCTCCGTCTTTCTTTCTGTGTCTCTAATGTTCTGCTAATTAGGTTTGGGAAAAAAACAGCTTAAATATCATTAAACATTTTTCCCTGAATATTTCTTAATGGGCTTTTACATTTTGTAACTCCTGAAGTGGTACGCTGTATGATGTATTTTCCAAATAGTATATATTTTTTTGAGTGAAAGTAATTTTAAATAAATGAATATCAACACATGAATACTTCATAGAATGGCATTTGGGTAAGCATAGGCTAGTCTATTCTATAATATGTTTTCATGTACATTAATAAATATAGTCATTTCCAGGCCATTCAAGGTACTTAAATTTACATCAAGTACTTAAAATTTACTATGAAGTGAATACAATTTCATCTTTACATCAACTTATTTTCATGTATTTCATGAAATGAAACTGAATGTTGCAAAATGAAAATTCTCTTTATTCTACAGATAAAGAAAACTTATAAGTGCAAATTTTTAATTAGATTAATTTAATATGATTTTGTAAGGCACATTGCACAAAATTCAAAAAGTACAAAAAAGTATACAATAAAATTTTGTCCTGACCTCAACCATTTGGTTCCTTTCTCCAGAACAATAGGAGTTAAAAGATTTTTGTGATTCCTTCTAAAGTATTTTGTATACATGAAAATATTCATATATACACTTTTTCCATTTTCTTTAAAACACAAATTATAGCTGTCTGAAAAATTAAACAGTATTGAATTCCTGAAGCAATTGCCTTTAATATATCCATAAGTTGGTAAATTACTCTAACTAATAATATACCAATAAATAAATTACAGAACAGAACAACAACAACAACAACAAAAGACAGGAAGAAAGTTTACAAAACCCATTAGAAATGATTGAGGAGGTTTCAAAAATATCAAGATATGATTATGGTAAGTTGTAGCTCCTGCAAATGTTATCACTGTACGTGGTAATAAGTATTAAGAATAAGGTTTTTTTTCAAGATTTTATTTATTCATTATGTGAGAGAGAGAGAGACAATGCAAGAGAATACAAGCAGTGGAGAGGGAAAAACAGACTCCTTGCTGAGCAGGGAGCCAGATGCAAGGCTCCATCCCAGGACCCCGGGGTCACAAACTGAGCCAGAGGCAGATGCTTAACTGACTGAGCCACACAGGCACCCCAAGAATAAGTTTTGAGAACAATCAGTTTATGTTATTTATATGGTATCTAAAGAAATACAGGAATTAGCCAGAATTTGTCATTTTTAATATGACCATAGGTCCTAGTTTGCATGCCAGAATCCTTCTTTGAGCCAGTTGCCCCATTGTAATTATTGATAGTGCTATCTTTTATTCTCACATTTTTCTGATTCAGATAATGTTATATAGTCACCATTAATCATATGGGATTTGGTACTTGGGATTCAGGAGAGGCCAAATTAGCCTCAAAATTAGTACAATTACCCATTCCATTCCAATCCCACCTAGTGGAACTGCTGAAGATAAACTGGTCTAAAAGACATGAGCCATTGCTTCCAGGTGTTGTTTCCAAACATTTTGTGCTAAATGGCCCACAGTGAGCTGGCCTGGGGTTCAGTGAAGGCCTGGGGTTCAGTGAAGGCCTGGAAGGGATCCATATAGCTATCACTAGACAGCTAGTCCACATGACTTTTTCTCCCTAATCCTTCTTCTCACTAAGTTGCAAAGAGAACTTTAGGGACTTGCCTTGTTTGTATTTATTGACCATTCTTAAAATGAGTTATTGCTTAGAAAACATTACTCTCTTTTTTATTGTTTGGAGATTTGCAGAATGCTTTTAAACTACTTTTAGAAGAATAAAGCAAAATGCAGGTCAATGGTTATAAATTCAACCAGACAGAGAATGTACTGAAAAGGTAAAGAAAGAAAGGCTCAGCAATGAAATGAAGATGTATATTCAAATGTTTGTTGTGTACTCTGTTTGGTAGAAGTTTGTCTTACTGTTTCTCTACTAAGAACTCTTTTTAAATGTGTTTTGTTATTGTAGCACTTTTTACAACGAAACTCTACTTGACCAGTTCCAAACTGTACAACCTGTATGAAGCTCCTCCTCTCAATGGGTTTCTTATTTCTATGTGGAATGTCCTCTCTTGCAGTGTCCTGTAAATAAAGATTAAATTCCACTCTTTTCTTTAAAAAAATAAAAAATAAATAACCTACAGGTAACTCCTGGATATAATCTGTAGGATTAATCTCTCTCTCTCTCTTTCTCTCTCTTCTTTCCTTGGTAGGACTTTTGAGAACAAAGCAATTTAGGCCAAAGACCATTTTTCATATGATCACAGGCAATTAAGTTATGGTTTTACTCCTCAGAACAATGAAACCTTAAATGCACAAGTACCATTTAATTCACCTCTCTGAGTTCAGTAACACTGCAATATGAAAAGATCCCAGAAACTAAAAAAGGTACTTTTGTTTTTAGCCCTCCTGATGCAGAAGGGAAAAAGAGTATAGTGGATTTATCCTCAAAGTTTCCCATGATGATTCCTTGAATTATAAATGGAAAGATGAATTTTGCTGCTGCCATACAGGCTGAGGTGAGTGAACTAATTACATCATTTTCTCATTATAAAACTATAAACAAGTTTTTGGCCAGTTAGAGCCCAGAATCTTCACATTAAAAATGGTGATTTTTTTACATTTGTTAATAAATATTGGCTTCTACTATGTGCCATGTACCATAGATCTAAATATAAATTGGTGAACAAATGAACAAGATTTCTGTCCTCATAAAGCTTGCAATCTAATGGATATTCAGTTATTCTATCATCAAGAAAACAATAGTATCTATACATGGGTTTATTTTAAGAACTCAATGAGATAATTTTTGAAAAGTTTTAGCTTCATGTGTGGAATAATGTAAAAAGTTATTGTCAACTGCTAAAGAAATAAGCAGGATATTGAATCAAAAATTGCTTGTAGAAGAAACAGAAATATAATGTACGCACTTCCTATCCATTATTTATCAGTCACTCACTCTAATGCATAGTTGATTTCCCTGAATTTGGAGGGTAGTGACTATAATAATCCATGAATTAAGGCAGGATTGAAAATTTTGTGAAAGACAACCATCTGCTATCCCTGGGGGACACCCTACTTTTGGATATCTGATTTTTATTGTTCCTCTTATCATTATGACCTTATCATTATGATAGAAATAGTCTTTTGGGTTGCCTGTTCTTAAATATAGAAAATTAATACATGTGACCTAAAGGTAATCATACTAGATCAAAATAATTTTGTAGTGAAAACATAATAGCATATACTTCAATGGGTCCGTTTTTTAAATCCCCATTTAATGACACTTCTACTGGTATGACTCCACTGAAAATATGTCTAAGCTATGAGCAGAAATACATCACTGCATATTTATATACATATGATAAATGCAGATATACCTAAAGACACCTTTAAATAAATAAATTTAAATACAATTTGTATTACTTTTTAAAATTTATGAACACTTAAATATTACACTTGATCTTAGCCAAAAGGCCGAGAAGCGATTGAACACTTAAATATTAAAATTTAGGTAACCATTTATTTTTATTTTTTAAATCTTTTTTTTAAGATTTTATTTATTTATTCATGAGAGACAGAGAGAGACAGAGAGAGAGAGAGAGGCAGAGGGAGAAGCAGGCTCCCAAGGAGCAGGGAGCCCGATGTGGGACTAGATCTCAGGACCCTGGGATCATGACCTGAGCCGAAGGCAGATGCTTAACCATCTGAGCCACCCAGGCGCCCAAAATTTAGGTAACCATTTAAAATTCAACATGATGGTACACTTATAAAATGATTTACTTTTCTGATGATATATTTATGAAAATTATGATTAAGCTTTCAATCAGTACTTTCAAATTTTGATACCAGAATGTGTAGTTTATTCTCTTATAAACTAGGTAATAAGAAAGTACTATTCTTCATCAATAAAATCTTTACTCTGAGAGAGCAAAAGATGATTAGTTAATATAAAAATACTTTGGAGAAAGACAAAATATCAAGTCTCTTGATGATATCACACTGAATAAAAAAATAAAATCCCATTTCAAGAAAAATAATTTTAAAAACAATATTTTGTAATGTTGTAAAATATGTAAATCCAACAACAGAAATAATCTTCCAAAAGAAAAGAGGAAAAAAATTGGCAAGTAACC